AGAATCTATTTAATTTTATAACATCACACAATTTGGAGTTGATATGAAAGATCAAATGGCCAGAAAATTTACAGTAAAAGCTAGTTCTTGTAGATGGCCTCTCCAAATATTTTTCAATATTTTATGTTTTGGCTGCTATAAATGCTTGGATCCTTTACAAAGAAACAACAGGAATACAAATACAATGAAAAGAGTTCTTGTTTCAATTAGCTAAACAGCTTTCCACCGAATACAGAGCTGCAAGACAGAAAAAGTCATCAAAACATGAAGACCCACAAGGATCAACTTCATCATCATCAAATTCAACCCATTCTAACAAACACAAAATTTGTCAAGTACGACTTTGTCACTACAACAAAACAAATAATGTATGTGAAAAATGTCAAAAGTATGTTTGTGGAAGATGTACACATAAAAAGATTTCCACTTTCATTTACAAAAAATGTACAAATAATAATGCATAAATTATTTTTTTCCAAGTGAAGTAATTTTTTTATTGTTAATATTTACTAATAACTTGTTATATAACTGTAAATAATATAAAAAAATATTAAAAATTAATTTTAAATAAATTTTCTTTACACATTATTCTTTCACAATGTAGTCATTTTGACTTGCTTTGGGGCAATATAGGTATGTACTAAGTTTCAGTCTTTCTAGTGTTAAGGCACACATCTGTTTTAGGAGTATAATTAATCTTGCGTTTCACTGTCTAAAATTTTAGTTAGATTATTATTGATAGATTAGCAGTAAATGCATTGCAAGCGTTGAGTTCAAAAATAAGCTTTTTTTTTTTTTTTTTTTTTTTTTTTTTTTTTTTTTAATTTCCTGATACAATGGGGTCGACTGGGAACCCATAGTCCATTTAAAAAATCTGGTTAATTAAAGTAGTAGTTATCTTTTAGTGACCCATTATTTATTGCAGTACAAGTAAAGGATTTTTTTAAATTATTTATTATTATTTTTTAAATTGTTATTTAGAAATTGTATTACTTTGTTGATTGTATTATATTTGAGCAAGAGCTATATAATATATTGATCTATGAAGCATGCAGGAATTTGGTGTGCAACATACTGTACAGCTCCAGATCCATGTACAGTTTCTGTATCCCTCAAAAAATTAACAGTTAATAATCTGTTTCTGACCTTAAGCCTTACTATTAATATTGGGTTATCCCATAAATAATGCAATTTTTTTCAGTTATATGAAAAGTCAGGAGACTAGATAATCTATTTGCATTAACTTGCTGTAAAAGCAGTTATTAATTTTACCTTGTTTTTATTAGTGGAAGTTTTAAAGAGGACAATTTGATTTTGGCATTTTTCACCCAAAAGCTGCTATGAAAGGGACAAAGGAGCATACTTGGCATATTTTTCTTTATGAGTAGATTTAAATGATTATAAATATGAATAATATAATTAGGTGCAGTACATGAGGATCAGACAGTAAGCATAAGGCCAGTGTCAGTGGTGGCTCCAAAATTTTCCAATCAGAAACTGTAGGCTAGAAGATCTGTGTAGAGCTTGATGAGGTCATCTTGCATCTGATGGAATAAAATCCTATCATAACTGTGAGGAACTAGCAGTGGATGGAGAGTATATTTTAGATTTAAAAAAAAAAGAAACAAAACAAATTTTAAACTGGTTTTGAAAAATAAATGAAGTAGTATTAATAAATAATATGATATGAAAAATAAATGAAGTAGTATTAAAAAACTGCATTATTTACAGGATAATCCATTGAAGTATTCCATTTATGTTAATAGTCTATATCATATTATTATATATTACATGTATTTTGACGTATTACATGTTACAATCTTACAAAAATTGGAAAAAAAAAAAAAAGCACCAGGGAAAGTTTTCCGAGACACAGAATTAAAATGTCTGTATAGTTGAAATCATCCATATTATGAGTTATCTGTATATAAGACAAGATGCCCATAGGTCAGCACCTACATTGTCTTTTATAAGTTACAAAACCATGTAGATGCCTATATATATTATTAGCACTAGATATCAAAATGAAAGATTTTGTTCCAGATGAAATGTTTCATAATTCTCCAGTACAAAAAAAGAAATATAACTTTTTCCTCTAATAACACGATTTTTCTCTTCTTGAGAGCAATCCAATATTACTAACATCAATTTTCATATGGGAATTATTGTGAGACTTAAATTTCCCATGTTACTTAATATTTGTTATAATAATTTGTAGTAATGTAGGGAAAAAATACAGTGAAAAGTGACTGAGAACTTCAGAAAAACCTTCTTTACTGTAATGGCTGAAATTATTGAATTAACTAATTGTTCAGGCAGAGGTGATAAGTATCATATGATATGCTCTAAGCTGCCACTTACATCAAGTTCACACCAGTTCTAGTAGAAGAAGACGGCTATAAAATTATTTCAACAATGTAGAATTTATTATACTAAATTTTTTGTTCTTTGTTTGTTTAAAGTTCTTTCCCTACAAGTGGTGATGTGTAAAGTCTGCAGGTTTTCATGTGTTTAAACTTTTCATAACAGATTTTTGTTTATTTCATGGTAATAAGTAATAAAACATGTCTATGTCTGCCAACAATTTACTCATTTAGAACATATATTCCTAACTATACTTTTTTATTTTTATTTATTTATTGATTGATTTTATTTCTAAACTGCATAATTTGTCTATCTATTTTTTTAATTAGTCTAAAAAAGGTTTCTGATGTATTAATAGAAAAAAAAAATCCATATGTAAATGTGACATTTAATTTGAAACCACATAATTCAAACATCAGCTTTAAAATTAAACTGATGAAATAGTAGCAACTATTAAAAAATTTGCAGTTTACATTATTATTATAATATAGTAGAATTTATATTATCTATAAAAGTATAAAAAATAAATTGCACTTTATCTTCAATGATATGTGAAAGAACAATGTAGAATACAAGAGGAGACTGATAGAAAATAACTGACAGCAGGTATGCTGCTTACTGTATGACAAGAATTTTCTTGCATAAAAAAGGAACTGGCATAATATTGCCACTTTTATTTAGTCTATCATTATGGCTAAGTAATAACTTAGCCATAATAATAAGCCAAATATGCAATATGTAATTAGTATTCCATTTATGTTAATAGTCTATATATTTCCTGATCATTGAATTCACTCGTCTAACTTTGTCCATATTCATCTGAATGTGTTCAATAGCTTCTTAAAAATATATATTGTATGCTGTTACTTTTTATAATTTAATCAATGAAAAAACTGTATACCTGTAAATAAATTAACTGCAACTTTAAGTTTACTTGCCTAAAAAGAAAACAAACTGTCTCAAATATTAGGCCAGACTGATGGTAAATTAATGATCTTATATAATATTCATCGACAATTATAGCCAAATTGCGTAGATGATAAATGGCATAGTAACATAATATAATGGCCTTAAAATTCGAAAAAACTATGCTTATAATCCTTTCTAAAATAATACATACCTAGTCCACTTTGTTGAGTTTTACTTAATATACAAATATAATTTCATCTAATCATTATGTTGAATAATCAGAAAGTTTTTACCTTCATTGCATTATGCCAATTTACCATTCAGAATTTTAAAAAACTAAAATATGTGTTTGTATGTATATATATATATGCATAAATTTAAAAAACTGCCATCTAGTCTTCAGATTAAATTAAACTGCTGTGCTATTTTTTAAGCTAAGCTAAATTTAGTTTAAGAATGAATTCCTAAAAGTTCAAGATATAGACAGGCTCATATCAGAGATAGTGCTGCTTGTGTGGCTAGACTGAATGGCAGAATTTAAGAAAGGTAAAATTTTTAGAATTTAAAGAGATGGCTGCCTTTATGAGCCTGAGAGATTGCACTGGGTGGCAAACAGCCTAGTGCTGATTTGGATATGGAAAACAAGGAGTTGAAATTAAAACTGTCAATCAGTATGGGGGGGGGTAAAAGTGTGAGATAACCTGTTTGATATAATTGCATTGTAATATTAATGCTACATGAAGATGTAACTATACCTTTCCCCTCATGAGATCACTTGCACACAATGCTAAAGTTTAATATCATCAGAAAAGCTGGCTGAGGTGGAAAAATTAAACATTTTATAGGATACTAGTTGAATATACATTTAGACTAACATAGAACGTTATATATTTTCTGTGATGTTTGAAGAGTGTAAAAATATATAACATAATGCTATAAAAATATTTAATGTTTTAAATTTGATATACTATGGATTACATGCATTTTTATGTAAATCAATTGGGTTAAAAAGTAAAAAGTAATATTTCTTGAGAAGCTTCGAGAGAAATAACGCAATTTGTTAATCAATAACAAACAGATTAACCTCGAAAAATTAAATATTTTACATTCAGCTGAAGAGCAGCAGACTCGAATGAAAATTGAAGCAATGCAAAATTGTGTTTCGAGACTAAATAATCCTTTTAAGCTAAAAATGGTGAACAGCCTCTGTGCACGATATCTTCAATGACAAAATGTGTTTATCACTACTATTGTGATTATGCAATAGTAGTATTATAACCAACAATAAAATAAGGCATTAAAAAGCTTAAATAAATAAAAACAGTTCTGTGCCAGCTATGTAGTATATGGCTTTCAAAGCCTCTTTTGTTAACTACAGTAATGCTATATAGGCTCATAAAATTATCAATTGCAGGTATTATAAATTAAATATATTTTACACTATGTGAGTTAAATATATTATTAAAATATTGATTTTTAATCATAAAGAAATATATGTATTGCATTCAAGTAGAATAAGGTTTTTGCCAAATGGCAACGCTCTGAGAACTAACTAGTTATGCTTGTGAAGGATGGGGAAAATAAACTAAAAATTTCGTGTTTCAGTAAGTGGCTGCACTTGCTAAGGCAAGTGGGGGATATATGCGTGGTATCATAACGGTTTAAAAATTTTTGGAGGGATCCCAGCTAAGAAGTGTCTGACGTCAAAACATTAAGCTTAATTTTACCTGATTTGAAAATGATCCAGATAATCATCCTGGTGTCTGATATCTAGATAATTGGGAGGTCTGTATTTTCGCTTCGTATGATTTAGTAATTCATGGATTTGTTGATCGAATCGCAATTGACCTTAGATTAGCGGACGTCTTATCTATCATGGTAAGCTACTTGAACGTGATAATAAACATGGGAAAGAAACACGACAGCACTTAAGATTCGGAGCCAGAGTTAGCGCCGTAATCCTTATTTCTGACATACAAAATCTCCGGTAATCTTCTCTAGACAAAGAAGAGAGTGTTAGAAACCTCAACTCTGTAGGCATCCATCGTTCGAATGAGGGAAGAGGTAAAAATTGCATATCTTCTTCAGAAAATCATTTTTTTATTACCTTCACATCTCTCACCTTATTCAGTTAAGAATGTTTCTTTTTATTCCGCTCCTTCTGAAAATTGGATTTTTCTGTTTAAAAATTTCGCTATATAAGCAATTCTATTAAAAAATTCACTATCGCATCTATCTACAGTTAAGATATAACTTCTGCGTAGCCTTCTGTCAGAATCGGCTCCAAGCATGCGCAACAGAGGCAGCGGCGCCAGTTAAATTGTTCTCATAAGCGACGACTAAACAAAGATGTATTTTGATTTAAATTATTAATATGCTTAATTTGAATAGGATACCAACTGTATTGAGAGACTAAGGCGTCATAAGTTAGGTGATATGAATATGGCAATGCAAGGGCTATCTGCCAAGGGGGAGGTATATCTTTCGTGGGGGATTTTTAAGGGAAATTGTCTCGTATTTATATTACACATGCCGAAAGCCAACCATGCAGCCTGCCCGTTGAGATCAAACGCAGGTAGAACTCAGCGTTCTTAAACACTCGGCCACCTCTGATACCTCTGCTGAGAGAATAACGTTAAAAAATGCTGGAGTCGTCGCTGATTTCAGCTGTAGATTTATCACATCATGATAGGGGTTATGTCTGTGTAACACACAGAGGAGGCCACGATGTAATCACCACCGGCACCTGCATTTTTAACACTCTACATGTTTGTGAAGCAATTTTACATGGCCCGCAAATGCATTTCAATTATGTATTTGTTGTAAATACATCGTTTGCAGTTTTAGAGACATAGAGATGTGTGTTGAATGAGTTTATGTGCTCGACGAGAATGAACTGTTTAATGTGTTGTATTTGGCACTGTTCATTGTATTCATTCTTCTAGGCGACCTGAGTGGTTGGCATTTTTGTTACCGACCATTTAAATATATCAAAGAAAGACCTGCAACGAAAGATTAAACTCATTTCTTATATGCATAATTGTATTAAAGGGGAAACATAACTGGAGACTTAAATCTTGCCATATTATATCAAATGAAAAGTATCAAGATTATGCATGAAAAATAGCTTTATTACGACAAGAATTTGAAAAAGAGATTTAAATGTTTTAATGATTTTAGTCCGATTTTACATTAGTCATACATTTTACATTACACATTCACATCATCGTTAAAAACGAACATGAATAACGCATCAAAAAATCTACAAATAGAACTAATTAGTTTACATTGTGATATAAATCTTATTCAAAGTTTTATAGATACAGATTTCAATAACTTTTTCTTTGAGGCTTTATCAGAATAGAAACGCCATAAAGTCTCAAGTTGTAACAAGAAATAAAGAAATTTATAAGCATTTGCATTCAGGTGTATGTATTTCTTCTGTATATATCGAAAAAAATTTAATAAATAAAAGAGAATACTTTGTAATAATCTATTTTAAAGTTTTGTCCAACATGGGAAGTTTTTAAATGGTTATTTTTAGTTCTAGTAAGTTATTTAGTGATTAATTCAACATATTAAAATTATATGAAATAAATATCAGTCTGAAAATTTAATATTTAGCTCTCAGTACATCAGCACATTTGAATTACAAATGTAACCGATATCCCCCCCGCCCAAGTGCCAACCTTTAGATGCCAGAGATAAAATAAATATAAATTTTTAAATTTTCCTTTGCGTTGTTATCCGTTTCGCCTTTGCGTTATTATTCGTGAAAATGTTCATTTTGTTGTTGCGCTGTTTATTTAGTCAATAAAATTTAAAATTTAACTAAAAAATGTTTAATTTTGTTAAAATTGTGTTTTTATCTTTTTAAAAAAATTTCTGAGTAATTAGCTGCTTATAGATCGTGCATTCCACTCGCATGCAGTTTGAGTCTGAGACCACTGCTCTGGTGTAATATAGATGGCGTAGATTAGTATACATTTAACGTATTAATAGTTCACAGTTAAATATATTTTTATTTAGTCTTTGCTTGTGACAACAAGCTTACGTCATTCGAAAAACAGCTCTTGGTGCATAATTTAGCGCATGTCGTTTGTACTATGAAGTGTAACACGCAAGTATGTGTATATCTGCAGGATTCTGATAACAGAATAGATGGATAGTACTAATAGAAGACTTGGAATAGTACTAACAGAAGTAGAAATATCGAAATTAAAAAAAAAAAAAAATAAATAATAAATAAAAAATTAAAAAAAAAAAAAATTATGAAAAAATCAAAACAATAGACTACGTGATTTAAATCCTTAATGGTCCACAGCTGACTTCGTTAAAAAAAATCTAGTTTTGAAAGAACACATTATCGGTGTTTAGTATTGTACTCTATTCCTTCTACTGCTGGTCCATAGTTTGGAATTGAATACTTTACGAGAAGCCTCGTGTCTATCATTCCTTGAATTGCATTTTCTTGATGCAGCCTTCTAATGGATAAGACCTTTCGGCCATTAGAACTTTTATAATTTGCTCCAGACTCTGCCCCACCAGCAACGCAACCAAGACAGCTGAATACTCGGAGTTCGATTCCAGGTGAAGGGAGTGGCCGCATTGTTGTTTTTTCTCGTGTGTAAGTGAATACTAGCCAGTTTATCTTAGAAAGCCTGCCACAAAGGCAGTCCTTCGTTTAGATCACTCTTCTGAGCTTTGCGGTATTTCATGTAACTTAACCAAGATTCGGGATTCCATTCCCCTTCAAGTGGGCTAACTGCATGGGCGTATTTATGGTTTTTCTATGTGTAGTGTAAAGATATATTCCTTTAGTCAGGTAACCCCAGTGTTCTTTGCATAATAGAATAATAATCTTTAAATCCAAATCGTCAAAAGTAGGTAAAAGTAAGATTTTAACTTCGGAAGAGGACAGCCATTGTTAAATTTGGCAGTGTTTGAAGAGACTTTTTCTTTCTTTCAGATTTTGAACCTGTAGCATCAGGCATAGGCTGTGCAAAATCAGACCAAGAATTCCAGTTGAATTCGCTTTAATCATCTTTCTCCAAGCACTTTGTTTTTTAAATTGAAACATATGAAGCATCTAAATAATATTCAAAATTATATCTTAAAACCATGAAATGCATTTCTTCCGAGCCTTCTGTACTCATCAAACGTAGTTACGGTCGTAAGCTTAACGCTATAAGGTTTTACGTTAAATTATTATTCTAGCTGTATTATCACGTCTATATTTTGTAAGCCGTTACATGGATGTAAATGAGATACGTTTAAATTATTTTCAATTTTATGTTAGTTGAATTCCGCAATCTGTAGAGATTATTCTCTTAGAGCAAGTCGTGCATTTATTGCATTGAAAGTTTTAAAGAAGAAAGGCTTGTTTAAACTTAATTCTTTTAATAAACGGAGCTATAAATCGCCTGACAACCTCCATAGCACCAACTTAGTTAAATAAGTGAGTAGAACCCTATAATATACACTGACTACCAATAAGTATTTGGACATCTGTGATAGAAAAAAAAAAACTAATTTTATTCAAAATCAATAGTTGGTAGAGCCTCCACGAGAAGTAATTACAGCGTTGACCCTCCGGGGTATACTTTCCACAAGTCTTTGTATGACAGCTAGTGGTATTTTCTTCCACTCGGCTTGTAGAAGACATAGAAGTTCCTTCACCGATTTTGCACGGGTAGTGCACCCCTGAATTCGGCGATGCAACTCGTCCCAGAGGTTCTCGATAGGGTTCAGGTCTGAACTCTGGGCAGGCCAATCCATTCGGTGAACTGCATTGGCACCATACCAAGCTTTGGTTAACGTCGAAACATGACAACTGGCATTGTCGTCCTGAAAGTAACAGGGGTTCAAACCGTAAAACTGCCACAACGTAGGAAGCACATTGTCATCTAAAATAGTGCAGTAGGCATCGGAGTTGAGCTTACCATGAATGGGGACCTAGGGTCCCAGCCCATACCAGGAGAAACACCCCCAGACCATAATTCTACCTTCGCCGAACTTGTCTGTTGGCACAATGCATTCTGGCAGGAGACGTTCTCCAGGTAGACGCCAGACCCAGACCCTGCCATCCGAACGGTAAAGGGTGAACCTTGATTCGTCACTCCAAAGAAACCGGTTTCCACTGATCTATGGTCCAATTTCGATGTGCTTTGCACCACATTAACCGAGCAGCGCGGTTGGACTTTGTGATCAAAGGCTTATGGGCAGCAGCACGACCATGAAAACCAAGCAGATGTGCTTCCTTACGGATGGTATTCATTGAATCAATACTCCCGGATGCCTATTGAAACTCCTCGCGGATGAGGGCCATCGGTTGGATGCGGTTCTTCCGAATTTCTCTAGACAGCACTCGTCGGTCTCTATCTCCCAGTTTCGTTGGTGTGTCGACTCGGGGCACATTCCGACAATCACCGCTCACCTTCCACTTCTTAATCACATAGGCCACTGTCGATTTTGAGTACTTCAGATCGCTAGATATGTCCCTTAAGGATCGGCCACATTTGTGATACCCGATAATTATACCTTTCTCGAAATCAGAGAGCTCCGAACTGCGAGGCATCTTGCATGCGACTAAAGCCGATGCTGTTTCCTACACGATATATACCGGCGGAGTCCGTGACGTACCTTAGGACCGCAGATATCGTCATTTGCATAGGTGTCCAAATACTTATTGGTAGTCAGTGTATACTGTTGACGCTTGACATATGCTGGGAGGATGTACGGGCGTGAACACTTGCTCAGTAATAATAATAATTGTTTATTTCATGAGCGGTAACTGTAATAACACCCCCACCTAGAACAAAGAAAAGGGGTAAAGGTGTATTATATTGGATTACCTGAGTCGAGTACCTGATGTTGGATTACCTTTAATTTATTTTGCTTAATAATGATCGTTATTTTACATTAAACTGCCAAATACGTTTAAAAATATTATCATAATATGCGGTGAAGCGATTCTCCATATTAATAAGATGATCAAACGTGCAATATTTTTTTTTTTAGGATGTAACCCATATTTTGGAAATATTCTTTGATTTTGCGAATAGTTTGCCTGAACTTCGCCAGTTCCGCTACGTGTAGTCATGAACTTGTTTTTATGCGTTTGGAATAGAAATGCGATCACTCGTAAAATAATACAGTGGGTAAAAAAAGTATTCCCAATTGCTTACAATTGATCAATCTGGCTGCCAAAGGAAATGCTTGACAAGTTTAGCTGGACATAATGAACACAGGAGGCAATAAAGACACAAATCCAATAAAGTTTCGTTTTAATATGCCTTTTCTACAAAATATACAGCCAAAACGTAAGTTTGCATGTCAAAAAAGTATTGGCAAGATCATACAGCAAAATGTGGGAACAAAATTTAATACTTTGTATTCATACCTTTACTTGCATTTATAACAGCTTGTAATCTATTTCTCATAGAAAAAACCAAAGTCCTGTTGGGAAAACCTGTCCTGTTGGTCCTGTCGAAAAAGTCCTGTTGAGAATTTTGTGCCATTCTTGCAGGAGCATACTCTTAAGTTCATTTTTATACGAAATTTTATGTTTCTTGACTTCTAGGTCCAATTTATGCTATACATTTTCAGTTGAATTTATATCAGGCGATTGAGGCGGTGTCTTTAACTGGCGAGGAGCGTTATAGAGTAACTAATGCCAGGTGAGGTTCACTGTGTCCTTAGGGTCATTGTTCTGTTGAAACACAAATGATGCTCCTAAGCCAAGTTTTTGGGCACTGAATTTCATGTTATGACGCGATATATCAGTGTACGTATATGCTGTCATAATACCATCAATGAAGCACAGGTTACCAACTACGTTTGTGCTGACATACAGCCCCAAACTACGACGCTCACCGCAACATGTTTTCAAGTCAGTGTTAAATGTTGTTTTGCCAGTTCGGTGTTAGGCTTTCTCCACGCATATTGTCGTCCATCACTCTCGAAAATGTTAAAGTTTGATTCGTCGGACAAAATAAATGTGTTCCAAAATTCGTCTGATAAATTAACATAAGATTTTGCAAAATCCAATCTCTTTCTCCTGTTTATTTCTGAAATGAAATCGCCAAAATTTTCTTTATAGCTGCTTTTCCATGATAACTTCCTCTATGTCAAACATTCTGTATAGTCTGTGCACTAAAAGATGTATGCGAAGTATTAGCAACATCTTTGGCCAACTGAAGGGTGCACTTATTTTAGGGTTTTTCTTAACCTCTTTGATAATGCCACGTTTTATCTTGCAGAAAATATTCGAGGCCCGTCTACTTCTAATCTTATTTTCCGTCGGTCTTGTCTCTTTGAACTTTTGTACAACACTTCTAATAGTAAATAAACTTACGTTCAGTTGTAATCCTATAGCATTATAAGTTAAACACTAATTTCTGGGCTGAATAATCACGTTTTTAACGTTAACATCAAACTCCTTCGATTTCGAAGCAGGTTTATCACAGTATTGGCAAAATAACGTTTTAAAAGTTTTGAAGTAGCACTGCAGACTTTATATTAACAGAATTTCTTATCAGTCTAAACACATGTCTTCAACATAACAAAATTTGTATAGCACTTAGAAGTTTACCAATACTTTGACATGCAAATTAACGTTTTTGTTGTATGTTTTGTGTAAAAGGCATATTAAATTGAAAGTTTCATTAGATATGTGTGTTTATTACCTCCTATGTTCGTTTTGTCCAGCTAAAATTGTCAAGCATTTCCTCTGTTAGGAAATATGAACAATTATAGGCAATTGCCAATACTTCTTTTACCCACTGTATATTCATAATATACGAATTAGGAAACTCGCAAGATTCATGAAAAGGATGATTAAAAGTCTAGTTCGATGATAAATAATATATCAGTAGCTGGAAAAAAAAACTATTTACAATTCTGAAATTTATAATTATTACGAAATGTAATGCTGCTGAACAGTGCAAAGAATTCAACTAGCCAATTGAAGAAGACAAGGTATTCTGTGAGTTTTGTACGTGGTATTTTGGAATGTAATAAATTCTGAATACTTTATTCCCCACTTTTTGAAATTCGATAGAAAAATACTTATGTTAATAAACTCATCAAAATTTTTTTGTTCCAAACCCACTTTAAAAAAAATCTGGTCACTTCATCCACATTCTTCATGCATTTATCGGTACCTTGGTCAAAAATTGTTTTTATACTGTAACTTGTAATGACAAAAATTGTCATTATGTTTGTAACTGTCATTTTCTTAGGGTCTTTTTGTAAATAACACTTTGCAATTTTGTTAATGTAGGATTTATTCTGGAACGATCTGCAGCACTTAGTAACACATTTGAAGAAATGTGTGTATTTTTATGCCGCAGTATTGCAACCGAAAAATTTTCATGCCCTTGTATTACGTTTACGAAGTTGAATATTTACGTTGAAGAGCGAATTACTATTTTTATTTTTCATTTCTCCCTCGTTGGCGTGATTTATATCTTCTTGGTGCTTTCCCGCATAGAACGAGGGGAGAGGGTTGGATATCGCGCGTCTGTGTTTTGTTGCTCCTGAAGTGGAATTCTTAAGCGCAGATGGACGTAGAAACAATGAATGCTTTGGAACGGGCCAAGATAATGCGGATCAGAAATTATATTAATAATAATAAAAATGAAAGCGTGTGTTTACAGAGGCTGAGAAAGGAGACAAGAAGTAAAATAAACCAGCGCCACTTTTTGAGTGCCACTCACCAAGATCGTAAATCCATGACGTCATTAGACGTTTCATGCGTGTTTTTCCCTCTCCGTGTAATTTCTGTCGTTCAACTCGATAGTACTCTCCATGTCGAATTAGCTTCGTTTCTCTGAAGCGTCATTCGGACGGTCCGGTTGCGAGGGCGACGTAGTGGCGACTTCCCTTGATGCTGATGGCAATGATTCTAATTGTTCGCAGTGAGCAACTGTAACTTGTTTCGTGGTTCCTTTGGACTAGTTCCGTGCATGGAGGTGCTTCATACTTGGGATTTCGTTGTCGGCTCGGCTCTTACCAATTGGCGATTGGAAGCATTTCCGTGGGAGTTTTTTCTGCGATATCGCAAAAAGGTATGAGATACTTGTATGTCTGTGAATGAAACTTTGCCCTTGAGGTAATGGTATGAGGATATTCGCTTTTGAAGCACGACAAAGCCCCTTCCTTCCGAGGTTATTTATTATACGAAAAGTGGCAACTAATTTATAGTTGGAAATTTTTGTGCAGTTAAACCGTGACTTCCCGTAACCAAAATTGTAAAATAAAGTGAATCTATATTTTTTATTTAAAGTTATATAAGCAATATACATATATATAACTTTTATGATATATGTTTTATTTTATTACATATAATAAACGTGGTTATGTATATAATATCCTGGTTAAGTATATAATAAACACATCCCATGGTTAAACCTGTGTAATCCGTAGCTTGTTTTACGAATGCTGTTTACTTTATATTGTGTAAAATATAAGCGCATGCATTTTAAATCGGGATATTTTTTAAATCTCAAAGGATATGTTTTTGTTTTCATTTGACATATAAAATTTTCTGACATATTCATTGCGTTTGGTTGCTACTTTTGAAGTTGCTCCAGTTATTCGATTTGAGAGTTCATTTTTACAGGACTGAGAATAAATAAATCTATACGATAATGTTATTAATTTTAAACTACTATTTAACTTCCAGATAACCGTAAAAGACTGTCATACAACTTTTCGTTCCGTCTGATTTTTTATATGGAGTGACTGCAATCAAGTTAAAATCAAAAATAAAATTATATATTAACACCTCGACCAGATGGTTACACAAAGTGAAAATAAATAAATAAATAAATAAATAAAAGCCACGGGCTTGCGAATAGAGAATCTGTTTAATTTTTAAGCAAGTTCAAATTAAATCAAATATAAAATGCAAAAATTTGTTGAGCCTAGTCTAAACCTTAGTTCCCTCTTATTAACCTCTCACGAATAAAATAGCGGCAAGCAACAGATCTTTGCCGGTTAAACTACTGTGGAACAAACAGTCTACACTACCAAACACTCTCTGATAAAATAACGAAAGTAGATGCTGTAGAAAATCCAAAATAACAAACTCCTCCAGTAAGGAATCCCATCCATTAGGCAGGTAGTCCATCTTAGTTTATGTATTGTTTTCACTGTTTTGCCTTTTTTTTATTTTTTTTTTTATTTTATGTATTATTTCGCTTTTTAGTAATTTACTTCTTATTATTTTTAGTATTGCTATTTAGTATTTAGTCCTATTTTAGACATTACTTTTTATGTTTATCAGTCACTTTGTTAATTGCTCATATACTATTGCACTGTACTCATTTATTTTTCACGTTGCGGATGTCTTTTGTAACCACCTATCCATAACTCTGTAAATATGTAACTGAAATTGTGAAATTGTTCTTCTCACCTGCAAAGCACCCTTCTTCCATCACTGCATTATCGTCTCGTCCAGCATTTGTTTGCACTGCCCCCAGCATTCGTCTTGAGCAAAATATGTATATATAAATGTGTTATGTTGACAAAGTTATTTCCGTCAGCGGGGCTACTTGACCTATATGCTAACTACCCAGTGGACCGGCTGCCTCCCTGTCGGTGGAAAGAAAGAAAGGCAGGTAGTCCCTGAGTGCTTTTGATTGATAAGTAAATAAATCAATCCTTTTTTTTTATTATTAACTAGCAAGCTGATGGTTTTGCCTAGACTCAATATCACGGATAGCAAAATCTGTCTCACTGTCAAAGCCCTCAAAAATCCCTGCCTGAAACACAGACGGGCCATAATTTTCTCCAAGCTGAATTCAAGGTCCTGTAATTTACATTTTGCTAGACTTTGGCAGTGAAACGTTAAGTGATAGAGAATATTAAAATGGTGTTTCCAAAAGACTGAATATTAATTCTGGTTAGTCGTTACCTCAGAATACCTTTAAAAATTATTCTTTGTCGACTTACCTATTCATTACTTGAGACACCGTTCGTCATCCAAGATTTTTCGAACATGAAGGAGAAATTATACCACCCTTGCTTTAAAAATGACAAAAATACATTGTAACTTAAACATCACAACTCTTGAATCTTCTGAAGTGATTAATAAATTAAATTTACTTGTAATAATAACAACCCCTACTAATTATAAAAGTAAACTAAACATATATAATTTTTCATTCTTATTTTTTTCACGAAAAATAATTTATTACATTTTCATCATCTAATTTGGATGTTACATTTCCTCCTGGTGATGGTGTTATGTAAAAAATTTTCATAATAGGAATTAAGCTTGTCAATTACCAAAATGTGTTAACAACGGATTAGTAAAGCCTCTAAACCGTAAATCTGGTCATAGATTTTGAAACCAAGTAAATTGCTGATTTTTATAAAGTAACTAGAAAGTTATTCCTCTCTAATGCCTGGGTATTCAAACAAAAAATATCTCAAAAATGAAGCTTCATTTCAGCTCAATTCAGTTTAAAAAAATGCTGTCTCTTTAAAACCTGTTTATTATAATCCTCTGAAAACATAAAAATCACAAGATATGCTTAACATTTTTTCTAAAACTAGAAATAGATAAACTTCAAATATAAATCCTTAAAGAATTTTCATAGAAATACAGTAATACAAAAATACTCCAAGACGAAAGTATAGAATTATTAACATATAATACTAATTAACCAGTTCTGTAAAATATATACATTCAACTATTAAATATAACTGAAGATTCTAAAGTATCCATTAAGATAAAAAAACTTAATAAGCTTCATGGAATCAAACTTTTAAAGAGAAATTGCAATAACCCATATTTAATCTGTATCCTACCAAAGCTACCATAACTCAGGGAACCTACGGATTTCCGAAGAAATTAGCCATAAGCATTATGGAGCTTGTTTTTTTTTTTTTTTTTTTTTTTTTTTTTTCCCTTCCCCTTCGGTAGAAGAGGAACCGTGTCTGATCGCCCTCGAATTCGATAGAATTTTATCTGAAATCAACACCAAAATAAAGTTGTTGTTGTGATTGATTTTAAGAACTGATAGAAAATTTGAAAATCTGTTCTGGGCAGGGCCGTGGATGAAAAAAAAGGAGAAATAAAATGTAGTACTTACAAATACACGAGACTCATGCTCTTTATCGTGAAATATTAAGCAAAAATAAAAACTAAATCATTGCTGTTTTTAAACTTTTTTTTTTTTTTTTTTAAATTCACATTTTTAATTTTGAAGATCATTTGCGCAATCAGTTATTTTAGTCCTAATTCATGCCTACTATATAATTATATATGTCTTACCTAAGATTTACTAGACTTTTAGAATACCAGAGATGATCTTTTTCCGAAAGTATGTGATTGGCTAATTAAAAAAAAAAGTGTATAATATACTCATTTAATGTCAGACTGTAATCAGATATTTATAATTACTGTTATGTATTGGAAGAATTGCGAAGTTATTTACATCTTTATTTTTATTTATGTATTATTTGCGAAATTGTTAATATGAATCCCACGCCGTAAAAATTTCGCGAATTTTTATGATTTATTCATCTATCGCATATTGAATTTTGGCATTTTTTCTGCTATAAAATTCTCTTAATTTTTTCCGATAATAAACTATTTTAAATCAAATTACTATGCGTTTATTTTTCAATACGTACTATGTTATACATATTTTTTTAGTCCAGTATGTCATGTATTCTTATTATCAGTTGGCTGTGGTTGAGAGAAACTCCTATTGTTAAATACTTCTTTCTATGTTACATTAAAACAAACTTAAATTTATATACAGGGTGATGTAATACTTCTTTGGCGAAATAAAGTAACTCCAATGATGGAACACAGCAATAACTTTTATTTAACACTCAAAAATGGCGACATACAAACAAGAGAAAACATATTCTATAAACTTATTTTAAAAAAATAATTACATGCTTCGTGCGAGAAAATGCATGCAGCTCTCGAGCCTGCATTTCAATATTGCCAGTAATCTGTACATTATTTATTATTCATCTATTTCAAATGCACGAGAGATTAATAACGATATTAAAGCTGTTACAACCTCTCCCCCCAACGGAGAGACTTTTTCCGAAGGGAAACGTTCTGTAAAATTTGACAGTTTAATAAGCTCGGCTTGCTCATTTGCTTAAAGAGAAAAGGTAACTTCTCTCATAAGTTTCCAAATTTCAGGTCAAAAATTTAAAGTTTTAAACAAATACTTTTACACCACATTTAAAAAGGAAAAAAAAAGAGAGAACGTTCAAATACATCAGTTGATCATACATTAAATAATAAAATAAATTCTGAACGTAGTACATACACTAAGAGTTATTACATTACTTAATTCTACTCAGAACATCTACGTTCTTGTGAAAAGATCCTTTGCGATGAATGACCTTAAAATTATAAGGTTGTAATGAGCGTGCCCAGCGCATCAATCTAGAGTTACATTTGGCGTTTGATTGTAGCCAGACCAAAGGATTATGATCAGTTTGAATCAAGAATTCTTGCTGAGCATCCAGATAAAAATGCAGTTTCTTGATAGCGTAGATGACAGCAGCGCACTCCTTTTCAGAAGTACAATAATTCTTTTCAAACTTAGTAAATTTTTTGCTTATATACAAGATAGGATGTTCACGTTGTTCATCATCTAATTGGCATAGTACTATACCCATGCCATTGTCTGAGGCATCGGTTTGTATAATAAACCTTTAAATTGGTAAAATTGGTTTGTATAATAAATCAAAATCGGGAGCATACAGAATTGGTTTCTTGCATAGCAACTCTTTTAAATTTTTAAAAGCTTTGTCACATATTTCAGACCATTGTATATTTCCTTTTTTTGTTACCTCCTTCAAAGCGTCCGTGAGGGGTGAAGCAATTTCCGAAAATCTCGGTATGTACTGGCGATAATACCCTACCAGTCCTAATAAAGCACGTACTTCTGTTTTGGTTTTAGGTGTAGGATACTCCTTTACAGCCAGGATCTTTACTTCATCCGGGGTTCGTTGTTCTTGTCCCACAACATGGCCTAGGTATCTCACTTAATCTTGTGCAAATTTACATTTTGATGGTTTTAGTCGT